AAAATCTTACCATCTTTATTCATTCCTGAATCAAGACATCGTCCTATATAAATATGTTAAAAAAAAATGTGTATCATAAGAGAGAAAATAATAAATACGAACGGTAACGACATGCTCGACATTGATTCCGTCTATATTTATCCACAACACATTTATTTCGATTTTTACAATGATAAACACGATTACGTCGTACTGATCGTTTGAAAAAACCAGCACAACTAAAGTCAAAAAAAATTATTTTCTTCTTCACTTTTAAAAAACCCACTCTAATCTATTAACCCTAAAACGTCAAGAAAAACCTTTTACTGATTGAAATCATTTTTAATATTATAAAGTTTTCTTTCTTTTTTTTTGAACCAATCGTAACTCTTATAATAGAGTAGGAACTGTATATATTTCAAGAATCGAGTCAGTCATTGTGCGACACACTTCTTGTGAATCTCGATAAGTGCTTACTCCTAATGTATTAACAAGACGTGTGTGTGTATATACATACATATATATGTATATCGTTATTCAAAAGACAAGAAGGTGAGAATGTCTCCAAGCCATTTCATGTACTCTCAACATATCGATGTTTAACAACATCATCTTACAAGAACAACATTACTAACCTATTCAATGTAAAAAGGCAATAGAACACTTATTTCACATACCCATCACACGCATATACACTATAATGTTTTCCAGATGAATTGTCATGACAAACTGAACATGGAACATTATACAATATACGACCTATTGAAATAAAAAGGAAAGAATGAAATTAAAAGTAGAAAATTCTAGTTTTACAAAATACCTCCACTCATAATGCCAAATGAATTTTAGAATAATATTGTATGTGATAAAATGACTTTCGACTAAAAGTTGTGTGCTCTTTTTCTGCTCTGCTTTCACCTACTATTATATTATACTTTAATAACAACACCAACTTCGATTCGATTTCAAGTGGCAGTATGTTTGATAAAATAACCAATAGGAAAGCGATGCGCAAACTATAAGAAGGATTCAATCAGGCAAAAAGGTAAATATGAGAAAAAAGTGAAGGAGAGAGAGAGAGAGAAAAGAGAGAGACATAACGAATGCCATTCTGCAACGAATTGTTTCATGTAAATTGCGACGAAAGACGAAGTAAAGAAAACATAAACAAGTTGAAGCTTTTTTTTTTCATCTTTGATTTTTGTACGTTACTTATACATCAAGAATATTTGATGACTTCATCAATATGATGATCTTCGATTTTTTGATGTATTGATCGAAAAATTGAAATTAACAATAATATGTTCCATATATATATAAACTATTGTTCAATAAGATGAATTCTAATAAATGAAGAAGAATAACAACAAAAATATATTTAGTCTTTGAACAATTAATTTTATTCAAATTTTTTTAAAATCTAATTATGATAAATCACTGCATTGATCAGAAAATACGTTAATTACATACATTAAAATAACTAACTAAATATTTTCTCCTGTATAAAAAATATTAATTTTTACTAATTTCTAATGAAAAACGAAATCTATGCATTCATTTGCATATAATTCTTACTTTGACCGAAATAATATATAATCCACGTTGACCTAAAGTCTGACATTCTATTCAAATTTATAATCTAGATTAAGGCATTGAAAATTTATTTTCTAATGAATAAATGAAATAAAAGTAAGACATATTATACTATTTTTTTCGTGATATGCATATTCTGACATTGACATTCAGTACGAATAATAATCATACATAGTTTTCCTGTATCTTACATCTTATGATGTACAAAACAATCAATATTCATACATGCTTAAATAGTTTCATATGTAAAGAACTGCCACCAGACATAAAGAAGTATACTATATTTTATAATACGGTTGATGAAACTTTTACTTTATTATCTGAAAAACGAGATAGGAATTTTATATCGATCTGCTAAGTCAAAAAAGCAATTCGCCAATATGCTAATTGTTGTATTATATCAATAGAGTCTGCAAAAAAAAAATAATAAGACGCGTGTCGATACGTTGATAGCATTTGTAAGATTTTCTTCGTTATATGTATTATTGTTTGTACCGATAGTGTCAATCTATTGAGTGCTACTTTTATTCTGTAATCAACACATTTCATGCGACAAAACAAATAAGAAGAAAAACGAATGAAAGAACGAAAGAAAGGAGCATACAAGACAATCGTTTGCTTAAAGTGAAATTTGACCGAACGATTGTTTGTTACAACAACAACAATAATAATAATAACAAGTAGAATGGACTAAAAACTTTAGCAAAAGTAGCGATAAATATCTACCAGAAATATTCTGATATTCATATATACGAATGATAATTTGTGGGATTTATTTTGTAATGATTAAATGGACAGTAATTATATAAGTATTTCATTCTATCGAATCGTTAAATTATACATTGTTCAAGAATCAGAACTTATCTGGTCCTGTTGTCGGCTTTGGTAATGAATTGATTAATATAAGCGAGAAATAGGAAAATATTAGATCAGATCCCGATATATTTTCATAATTTAGTCTTTTTACTTCGGACTTAAGTTGTGTAAATGTAAACCCTCTGACTTTCCACTTCAAAGTATGATTTGCAATTCAATATTACTTTTAAATCAACATGTCTATTGTTTTATGACTAGATGAACTTCTAGTCTAAAATATATTCTCAAGTTTTAAGAATGAGAAAATAATTTTGTACGAAAATATCAAAAGATTTTATGCTCTTGTTTACAGTCAATGTGAAGATTTCGAAGGAAAGCGAAAACAAACAGTTTAGAAACAAAAATTCTTTGTTTTTGTGTATTATAGAAACATTTACTATAGTAAGTATAGATGAATCATAAAAACAATTCATATATTTGAAACAGAATAAACAATAAAACAAATCATCTACTAAACTTTTTTATTACCTAAAAATATTGAAAAAGAGTAGCTATCGATAGTTGTGTCAATGAAATATATTAATTTAAAAATAAGATCAGTAATCATCAAAACTTTTGAATTATGCTTTAATATTTTTCACACAAAATTTAACTAAAATTTCACATTACTGACACCTATCAGCTAACTGTATTATGTTCTACTGATAATTTCATATTAACTAATATTCAATATTCATTGACGGTTAAGAATCAAGTGACGGATTTATATAGTGAAAATCTGAGTCATTTATATTGATTCGACAGTATTTTTCTAAGCCGAGTAGATTACTACATCATCACTCACGATCATTATCTGATGCTATAATTAGTAAAAATAACTACTATATACATATAGAATAAATCTACTCTCTGCTACGAAGATTTTCTCTAATCATGATAGAACAGAGTATGATTGATTTCTTGATTGAAAGTTCTTCTTAAATCAGATCCTATGAACTTGAAATATATTGAATTATTCATTTGTAATTACAGATACATTCAATACACATGACTAGACTAGTGACAATCAGATGGCTCACAATTGTGTCAAGTCCTAATTGATTAATTATTCTTTTCATTAATAGAAACTATCAATGCTCACATTTATCGTAAAAAAAGTCGTATAATATCTATACGAAAACTACGAAATAAATTTTGTCAATCAAATAAAAACTTTCTTTGACAATCGATCAAATACTTTTTTTTTTATACAAAAACTCACACTTTCTGACAATTATATAGAACAGATTTTTTTTTGTTATATAATGTAGACAATTTGTAGAACAGAGAAAAGAAGAAGAAAAAAAAGATAGAAAGAAAATTAACATCTAACAACAACATTATAATAAACAAATGAATTGCAAGAAGAAGAAGAAGAAGAAGAAAATTAGAAAAGAAATGTTATCAAGACTAGACAAAAAGAACAGAAACAAATAGGAGATTATTTATATAATATATGTTCTATGCAAATGGAGGTAATGCTGTACCGGATTGTTGATGATGTACAACAGATGATGTATCCGAATTAAAATAATATGAATCAAATGATACTGGTGGACGTTCATAGGATGTTGGAGGAATATAATTTGTTTTAATATTATTTCCAACTCCATTTGGATAATAATTTGATGAATTGAATGGTGATGTTGGTGATTGTTTTATACAATAATTTGCTGTCATATCATACATATCGGCTGGTGTAGCTGTATTATAATCAATTTGTTGTTGAAATGCTTTTGAATAATTTGATGGTGATGGTGTTGAAAATGTAACAGACATTGATGGTGGTTGTTGTTGTTGATAGTATCCATGATGTTGAGGATGATGATGATGATATGAACGAAGAGCTAACGATGAATTTAATTCATCTTTTTCTGTTGTTGATGAAGCCAATGGAGAATTATTTAAACCAATAACACAACCATTATTATATGATGTTCGACTTTTTCCATCTTTTTTATCTTTCATTCGACTAGAAAAATAACAGAGAGAATAAAAATATAAGAAAAAAAATAAATTTTCACATACCGATTTTGAAACCATATCTATAACACACAAGAAAAAAGAAATATTAATTTATAAGTTACGAAAGAAAAGAATTTATTTACCTTGATCTATTAATGATGAATTGATATATTAAAAATAAATTAGAAAAAAAATATTCTTTAGGCATTTTTTAGAAACTTTACCTGTCGTTCTGTTAAACTCAGTGCTTGTGCTAATTCGATTCGTCGTGGACGATTTAAATATTTATTATAGAGAAATTCTTTTTCAAGTTCAACTAATTGAGCACTTGTATAAGCAGTTCGAGCTCGTTTTGATGGTGTTGAATTGCTTTTATCTATGACAAAGAAAAAAAAAGAAAACCTATCTTAACTATTGATCAATACATAAGAAAAGAAGAAGAAGAAGAAAAAAAACCTTTTGCAATGACAAGATTCAATGTTCTGTATCCTATTCGCTCGATGAGAAAGCGGCGGTATTGGATGAATAATGATATGGTCATTTATCATCGTCAATAGTAAGAGATGCGGACGGGCGCGCGCGCGCGCCTGTCAGTAAACGAAGATGAAAAACATGTATAAGTCGAGACAAACAAGCGGTTAGATCTATTCTCAATAATGAGAAGAGTTACATTTATGTTTTCTCTTAATCAAAAAAAAATACATGTATGAATTCTATTGAGATTTGTAAAAAAAAAAAGAAAAAATGAATGACACGCGAACAAAACTAATATCATCACCTAATGTCAACTGGATAAATTAAATCATATATTTATGCGTGTCGAATAGCGAAGACACCTTGCTAGGTCCATGAATTTTTCTCACTTATTATTTCTTAAAAAATCGTTGACCCTTGAAGATTTAACACTATTCTTCATTCTCATCTTTACACTTAATGAAATTTTACATTTTGTTTTCTATTTAAATGTCTTACCAGATGATGAAGAAGAAGATGATGTTGATGTCGTATTATGTCCTGCTTGATTTTTTGAATTAGTCTTACTTTTATTTATTCCATGTTTTTTATCACTCATCCATGGATAGATTTCTTTATGCTGAGGTATGATTGTTGAAGTAAATTCCGTTGGTGATGATGAAGAATTTTTATTTGATGTTGAACGAGATTTTTGTGTTGATGTAGGAACAGTTTGTGATGTTGTACCTGATGGTAATGGACTTATTTTTGATTCATTTGTTGTTTGAGATGTTCCATTACAATTAATTCGATTTGTATTATTAATAATTAAATTGACATTTGTATAAGAACTTGCTGGGACATTCATATAATAGTCAAGCTGTTGTTGTTGTTGATGATGATGATGTGTATCCCATAGCATCGATTGCAGTTGGTGTTCGTTTTTAACCATGATTTTAAACGA